ACAATATTTATATTCCAATTGATTTATTTCATAATTATATGGTAAAAATGAGAAAGTAAAGCAATTTCTCAGTACTAGTGTGCTGTGACACTTGTATTTTTATGTCTGAATTTGTAAGCAAGTAGTTTTTGAGTGAGGTGAAACTTGGGATACACAAGACAAATCAGACTCCAGAAATGGGGACAGTAGTCTGGAAAGATTGAGACCCACTGCTCTAGCAAGCATGAATGGCTTACTTTGTTCAGAACTGGCCTAGAGTAAACTGTTATACTGGTACTAGTGTTATAGCATTGTCCCAAACTGCCTGCATTAAAAGTTCCAGTGGCTGTAATAAGTGAAAGTCTCTTGGTATTGGCTTGCAGTGATGAGTATACAGAGCTGAAGGCCTCCATTCGATGTATTGTCAGGCTAAGGACACTTCTGTAGAGGGGCTCAGGAAGGACAGATTCTCCCACAGTACACTGTGAAACAATTCCTTGAATGGCTCAACTTAATCAGGTGCTAAGAACCCTGGGATATTGTCCCCAGAAATCCAAGCACCTAACCCTGCTTATTGCAGTGCCAATGTGGACCTGGCTACACAGGTATGAGACAAATGTGGCTCTGCTGTGTGGATGGGTAAACTCTGCAGAGAAGATTTACCCTCTGTTCTTGGGCTGGCTGGGAAGACTGTAGCCATCTGGACAAGTGCATTATAGGAGTTCAGTTGCTGTAAAAACTACTCACATGAAAACACAACAAATTCCATTTTTGCTATTGTTGCGAAGTGTACTCAGTTTGCTTCTGCTTCAGGTTGCTTCAAATTAAGGCCAGTAGCAACCACAAAGTGAAGGAAAGTGTAAAAATAGGGCGTAGCAATAGGTTTCTCTCTTTTAGAGACGCATGCAGCCTTTCTGATGCTGGGGGGCAATGGGAATATGCGCATCTTTCATCCTATTTAAACTATACATGAATCACAGAGAGATGCAGTTTTGGTAATGGTGCCTGCTGCCTCAGTTCAGTGGTATGAAAGCTCTGCTCTTATACTAGAACATCTGTAAAGAATTGTGCTGAAGTGATGCCAAAGCACAATAGCCTCTAGCTCTGCCTGCACCCAGTGAGTATTGGAGTATTCCCCACACAAAAATAAAAGGCCCCAGCACGGAGCAAACTGCATGTGGTAGTGTGGGTACTGTGAGGTCTCCTCTGTAGGCAGCAAAAGATGGAAGTTCTCTTTTTGCTCTTGAAGAAGGGGAACAAAGTTAGAAAGAGCAGACTTCATGCCTTCAGGGTGCGGGGAAGAAGAGTTGATTCTATTTCCCAAGAGCCAGAAGGGAGAAGTAAAAAAAACCATGGAGACTTATTTATTCAGAACCATTGTGGTTGGTACTAGTGGCAGCTATAGTGTACTGTGATAAATAGCCTTCTTGGAGCCCAAGAGCTATTTACTCTTCATTAGAAGCTCAAATGTTTCCACTAAACAGCGCTGAAGAGTATGCCTAAAAATAACCCCCCAAAATAAAAAAAAAATCACACCACTGAGCTGACAGGAAATGTAAAAACATTTCAAAGTGAGAACTACTGAAGCTGATGAAAAAGTCATTCATAGTACTTTGCACATTCCTAGCACCTTCAATCTCACAGCACAGCTGTAGGGTGGGCAAACAGTGTATTATTTACAGAGGAGTAAACTGAGGCACGGAATGGGTAAGTGGCTTGCTTAAGCCATTCTCTGAAGTGATGGCAAATGCAGAATAAATACAGTATTAAAGCACACTGTAAGATCTCCAGGGCAGGGACTGTTATCCTGTGTTTGTACAGTGCTTAGCTCTAGGTGTGCAACTGTAATACAAACAGTAGTTAAATGCTTTCTTTCCCCTTATCTTCCAGACACTGAGAGGATGGGGAGAGAGGATCATTGCTGGAGTCCTTACACTCCAGTGCTTTGGCAGGTAAGCTTTAGAAGAGTCTAGCAGCTTCCTGGGGATTAGACTCCCGTGACAGTGAGATGTCAAAACATGGAAGCCTCCTGGAGATTCGTTACTAGCTTTTCCTATGAAGAAAAGGCACCTTCAGTAGGCCCTACTGAGCCCTCACACAAGTAAGTGTCACCATGACACACTGTTCTGTTCTCAGACACTAGAGTGTCATATGGTAACCATGTACCTTCTAGGTATGGTCACCATAGCCCTTAAAAGTTACTTCTGCTTGTGATAAAGGAAAACTAGTCAGTTTTTTGGCTGGGCCAACCTGAGTGGTGCTGCTACCCCTGTCCAGGACGTAATGCCACTCACTCAGATTAGGAGGGGGAAGAGGAAGATCGGGGTGGTGGTGTGTGTGCATGCGTGCAAATCTATGCCCTTCACTTTAAATGAGGCTCCACAGCCCCTGGTTCATGCCAACTTTTCCATGTTACCCAATTAGAGGATTTTGTGTTTCTCTTTTCATAAGGTCTCATCGCTCATCACATTCTTTGTAAAGTGTTGGTAGCTGATAAGAACTCCTTGCTGCAAGCTGTTGCAACTTCTATCCAAATCAGAATTTGGCTTCAAAGGCTCTAGTCTTTAAAAGGTATTTTTTCCATTGTGTACTTCAAACAGTTTATATTTTAGCCCAGCACATAGCTCTCTTCCCAACCTCAAACTCAACCGTTTGGTAACTAAGCTGAATACAAGTTCCCATGTAGTGATAGGTTAGAAGTAGGTAGTAGACAGTTGAGTACTTATGCACCAAGTCGCTTTCTAGGAAAAATGTTTCACGGGCTTATTGTTAAGGAAGACATATCCCTTCCCCTCTCTTGAGTATCATGAAGGAACTACCGAGCAATAACTAATCAAATGTGTGGTTCCCTTTAGGACCCTAGTTAGTCACAAAACAAAGGAATAAACTTTGCTTGAAAACTGAGTTATTGTACATCAATCCTAACAACGAATACTGCTGCAGTGTTTTAACCAAGTAACCTATTTAACATTTTAATACCAATCTTAACATTTTTATTCTTGACCTTGCCACAAGAAGTGGGAGTGTACTAATAAATTTTGCAGATGCCACAAAATTGGGAGGTAGTGTCAATAGGGAGGAGGAGTGGAATATCATACAAGATGATCTGGATGAACTTGTAAACAGCAGTAATAGAAATGGGATAAAATTTAATAGTGCAATGTCATGCACTTAGGGACTAACAACAAGAATTTTTGCTATAAACTGGGGACATATCAGTTGGAAGTGACAGAGAAGGAGACAGACCTAGGTGTATTTGTTGATCACAGGATGCCTATGAGCTGCCAATATGATGAGGCTGTGAAAAAGGCTAATGCAGTCTTAGGATGCATCAGATGAGCTACTTCCAGTAGAGACGGGGAAGTGTTAGTATCATTATACAAAGTACTGTTGAAACCTTATCTAGAATACTGCATGCAATTCTGGGCTCCCATGTTTAAGAAAGATGAATTCAAACTGGCACAGATGCTGAGACGGTCTACTCAGATAATCTGAGGAATGGAAAACCTACCTTATGAGAGGAGACTCAAAGAGCTTGGCTTGTTTAGCCTAACCCAAATAAGGCTGATACGACTACTCTCTATAAATACATCAGAGGGATAAATAGCCCAGAGGGAGAGGAGTTACTTAGCTCTAATGTGGACACAAGAACAAATGGCTATAACTGGCCATCCACAAGTTTAGACTTGACATTATAGGAAGGTTTCTAACCATCAGAAGAGTGACGTTCTGGAACAGCCTTCTAAGGGGAGCAGTGGGGGCAAAAAACCTAGCTGGCTTCAAGGCTGACTTGATAAGTTTATGGAGGGGATGGTATGATGAAACTGCCTACAATGGCATGTAGCTGATCTGAGACTGCTAGCAGAAAATATCTCCAGTGGCTGACGATAGATCACTAGATGGGGAGGGCTCTGAGTTACTACAGAGAATTCTTTCCTAGGTGGCTGACTGGCAGGTCTTGCCCACATGCTCAGGCTCTGACTGACTGCCATGTTTGGGGTTGGAAAGGAATTTTCTCCCAGGTCAGATTGGCAGAGACCCTGGGGTTTTTTTGCCTTCTTCTGCAGCAGGGGACATGGGTCACTTGCAGGTTTAAATTAGTGTAAATGGTGGATTCTCTGTAACTTGAAGTCTTTAAATCATGATTTGAGGACTTCAATAACTCAGCCAGAGGTTAAGGGTCTATTTCTGTGGCCTGCAATGTGCAGGGGGTCAGACTAGATAATCATGATGGTCCCTTCTAACCTTAAATTCTATGAGTCTGAGTCTAATGATGACATTTTCAGTTTACTACAAATGCCATTTAGTGAATTGCAATTTTTTGGGTTTGTCAAAATACAATTAAGATTGTGAATTCAGCAATGGACTGCAAGTAAAGAATAGCAAAATACACCATCTTATGACAACACTAAGAATTACAAGTAGTTTGGTTTCAAAGCATGTTTATTAATCGGCTTAACACCGTGAGCATGTCATGATGTTCTTGGTCTAGAAAGCTAAATAGTGCAACAATCACAAAATAAATTTAATAACTATTGAAATAAAGCTCAAATGAGGTCTTTTTAATTATTCAAAAATAAACCATGAATTTCTTGCAAGCCAAACTATGACCAGCTACACAATCAGTTTTAAATTCTCAAATGTTACAGAAATTCGAACCCAAACCAATCTTCATAAGTAGCAAAAATAGATACACAAGCCACGAGGGGGGGCAGGGAGGGGAGGGAGGGAGAGGCTGTAGACCAGAAATCTTTGCTGCTCTTCTCAGCATTCTGCTGGAGAATGCTGCCCAATGCAGGGAAACAGCAGAAAAGATGCCAGTAATGGTACCCTGCCTTGCATGAGACTGGTACATGCTCCGTCTTCTTTCTTTCTTTCCCCTAATCTTGTGGGCACAGTTTGCCTTAAGATTTAGCAATGAAACAAAAAATGGAGATCTTTACTACTTTTTCTCAGACAATTTTCAGAGCCTACAAACTTATTTTAGCTTCATTCATACATTGAACTAATGCTGTGCTACTTAGCTTGTCCAAAAAGATTTCAGAACACCTTCATAAGAAACAGATGTGAAAGTACAGGATGCAAAGTAAAATGCTTAATTTCAACTCTCAAAAGAAAAAAAAATATTGTTCACTATAGCAATACTTCAATACTGACTTCAGGTGCAAAAGAAGAGGTTTGAGATCATCATCATTCTGTGGGTAACAACAGAGAAAAAATTGATCAGTAACTTTAAAAGTACAAGTGTATCAGCTAATAAGTATGACCAATACTAGTTCTAAAAATAAAAAAATTACTCCCCCCACTGCCACTCAGAAAGTAAAATTAACCTCACTAATAAGCAAAAATGGGGGTTTCTAACAAACATAAAATCTAAGCTTTTGAAGAGTTAAATTTTAATAAGGTAATTGGCTATAACCATCCAATTTGAATAAAAATCAAGCCAAATAAGATTCAAATGCTGTACCCATAAGGCAGAGTTTGTTTTATATTTGCTAACAGAATTTAAGTACAATTCCATTGAAAATTACTATATATTGTAGCATTTACTCAGTGCCAGAATGGTGACACTAATTTTCCATACTGTACATATTCTTCCTTTTTGAAAACACCTTACCCATCTTCTAACTTGACTGATACTATCTATAGTCACAATATTTGCTTTTAGGGAATCCACTTGGTTCGAAAAAATCTTATGCCAGGTACCATAGTTTTGAGATGACTGACCATTCAGGCATGCTGTCATGTCTAAATATTCTTGTTAAACTTCCAAGATCTTCTTTATTGAAATGCAATTCTTCAAGTAACGTGGACAGGAACTGTGTATATACTGGACTCTGTTGAGAATTTGCAAAGACTGGAATAATCTGTGACAACCTGGAAGATGACATTGAATACAGAAGAGAGGACTTTAAATGTCTGAATGAGGCTGGTGTGCTTTATACAAAGCTATCAGCTATTAAACAATTGCCAAAGAGGAAAGATATTTCTAGGACATGCCCCATTCATAACATTACAAGTGATTGTTTATAAGTTTACAATGTAGCATATGACTATTAAATTGTGAACTTTTATTGGCTTTTACCAAATCTCCATCAGTTTTAAATTAAATGAAATCAAGCAAGAGATTAGTTTCATATGCAGTTAATCAACTATTAGTTGTTACATAACAGGCAACATCAAATTATGTGCTTTGAAGATTAAAGTTTTACGTAACTTAAAAAAACCCCAAGAATTTTGTATTGTCTTCACAAAAGTGATCATTCATCTTGTACAAGTTATGCAGTTCCTTGTACAAAAACAGTTGTAAGAACTGTAGGAAATACTATTTTACTTTAGAGTAGCTGAAGAAACCTTCTTTTTCACAAGATCTACCTAGTCACGAAGAAGACACAGGCACAATAGAGTTTCATATTATTTTCTAGAGAACCCGGGTGTGTTTACTAATGAAAAACCTCTGTCTGTTTATTTAAAAAGGTCTCTCAACAAAACAACTGAAAAAGCTTTTAAGGTAGAAAACGCTCTTTTTTTAAAGCCAAGATTTCTCCAAATAGTTGGAAACTTCCCACAGTGGCCTTTCAGATTATTATTTAATTTAACTTCACCCACTGCCACTGGGCACATGAAATATGAATAAAATAACACTCAGAAGCTGCAGATCAATGCAGGTAGGTGAGTAATCAGAGCACTGCATTTCCTCAGTAGGACATATGTTCCCATGAAGCAGTCTCTGATAACTTTCTTATACAGTGGATTGTGTACATTTATTTTATTTTAAGAACCTCTGTGTTCTTGTTGGTCAGAATTTTTTTTTGACAGAGGACATAATTAGATTCTGAGACGCTGTTAATCAGGGTTATTAACAGTCTTCAATTTTACATGTTTTCTATCTTACTATATATTATGTAATATATTAAACTCTTTACATGCAGTCCTGCCTTCTTTCATAACAAAAAACAGTATGGATTTTAAGAAGTGAACACTGTAGTAAAACTAAATTGGAACAGCTGCAACGATTCAAAAAACAACCCCATAAGGAGCACAATACTGTAATTGGATCAAATAATAAATATGTCTTCAGTGATCCACACATTTCATCTTTAAAGCAAATTTAAAAAGATCAGTTGGCCTTTTAAAGTACCTAATCATTTGTATAAAAATGAACATGGTCCCTGTAGTGCTTTTTAAAATTCTGCTGTTTGCAAACAAAATTTTGCAGAGACTTTTCCATTAGACCCTGATTCTTCAAACTGGTGAGCAAAGCAGACCCCCCTAACTTCCTTGTTCTGAAAATTTTGTTTTTCTAAAGGAGATTAAAAAAAACCCCCAGGTTAATTTTCATAATACTTTTAAGAATTTGAGAGCCAGCTGAATCTCTTTATATTTGTTCCCAGGTTTAAACATCAGTAGCACCGAAGCCAGACCTACTTTTCATGAGATGAGGGCACTTCGCAATTAACTGGATCAAATATGCTCTGTATTGTGGACCCAAGATCAGTGCTGCTAATAGGCATTCACTGTATCACAAGGGGCCATTACAATGTATGTTGCAAGTCTATATAAAAAAGCTTGTGTTAGTTTAAACACTATTTCTTTTACCTCCTATCAGTTTTAATTTTAGTGTCTACACAAAAGACCTGTGGTCAACACTGCAAGGAAATTTCACACTATTGTGTTATCTGTATATAACTGGTGAAACGTTCCCCTCTTTGCCATTAGTGGTTTCAGGTACATGCGGTTTCATGTAACGTATTCATCCCGGTAAACAGAAAATGTCAGCAACACTAGTGGAAAGATTTATTTTTATTGTTTAGAAAACAACTTCTGAAAAATGCATTTAAACATCTGAATTTATATAAAGGGGAAAAAAAGCAGATATCATAGCTCCCTACAAATTCAGCAGTTAAAGGGAGAGTTACTTGTAGGTAATTACTCTGACATCAGACCCTCTGTGGAAACTGGAGATAGGACTAAATCTCCATTTTAAAAGAAATGCAAATTAAAACAAAAGGTGCCTTTAATTAAGAAAAGAGGGGTAGGTCACACAAAGGATCCCACAAAACAAAGTAAACATTGTTTATTAATACAAAAACAATCATTTAAAAAAGTTTTTAAAAAAATCTTGATTTCCTGAAAGAACAGAAAAGTAGTAAAATGTTTATTTCTGTGATGTCTAACATAGTATGACATTTTGATTATTTTTCATTGCCTTTTGGAGTTTAATCTAGGAGATTCATTAAATACTTAAACTATTCAAAAATGACAGCACTAAGAAATATGAGGTAAGCACACAACATGGAACAAAACTTAGCTGTGACATGTAAACACCATTCTTTCATAGGATAGCAATGTTCACAACTGGACGTTACATTAATGTTTGGACTGGTGCCAATAGTATTTGCTCCATGCAATGTAAAAATAGCACTAAGCAGTCATTTGCGTGATAACGATGGCTACTCTTTTTAAAAGACCAAGAAGAGGTATTCTGAGTATCTCAAAGACAGGAGCTGATGGTCTGGAAGTATTTTTTTTAGTAAGAAGTGCTCAGTAGGGGAGTTGAGGAAGTACTGATAGAACAAGAATTAGCAGACCTCAGAGTTAGGCTGGAGACAAGGATATCAGAGAAAAGGCCTGGAGATGCATTCTTCTTCTTCAAGCCATCCACTCTCAGGATTAAAGAGAATGTGTATGATAATGACCCACTGGCACCAGTTGTCACAATTTCCTGTCCAGTGCCAGTAGGACACCGTGTGACACTGCAAAATGCTGCCTCTGCAATACTGCAGAATTACAGACTTTTTCATCTCAGGATTTTTTCTGTGTTGTGCTCTAATTAAAGACAGATTTTACTTTTAAAAAGCAAGAGACTTGTGCACGTACTTTTAAACTATTTGTTATTTGCTAAAGACTCAACATGTTTATGCCAAGAAACTAGCCTTCTGATTGGTGTATTCTCCTTAATCATACTGTCAGTGTCTTGCTACTGACAACAGTAGTTACTTTTGTGCATTAAGGAACAACACATTTTATAGAAATTCAGTACTGGATCAATATTTTGGCCACTTTTGGCCTTTGGCAAGAAGCAGCCAAACCTCTGAAACTTTTCAGATAAGCACTACTTAGAGATTTGTTCAAACAATTTCATCCAGCTATGTATACGTTTCTAGTATTTTTGCATTAAATTCAAATTTGAAATGGTTTTAGGGCAGAGACAATCTGACTCAATGCAGCCTATTAAACATATTTATGAGCACATATAGAACATGATTAATTTCTCAGTTGGCAGACTGGGTCCTTTTGGCATTTAACAGCTGCCTCTATTTTTACCCCCCCATTTAAAAGCAGTTATCCAGAAGCTGCTTTTCTAACAATGAATGATATAGGGCTGGATCTGGCACTGTGGAAGCCAATGGGAGTTTTGCAACTGACTTCAATGGGATCAGGATTTTAGCCTGCACTGTGTAATATAATAAGCTTCACATTTCTAGTCCCCATTATTTCAAAACTATTACCACTACATGGGGCTGCATTATAAGCAACATGTGTTCAGGGCCGGCTCCAGGGTTTTGGCCGCCCCAAGCAGCCACAAAAAAAAAAAAAAAAAAAAATAAAAAAGCCGCGATCGCGCTTTGCCGCGGCCATTCGGCGGGAGCCCCTTCGCTCCGAGCGGGAGTGAGGGACCGTCCGCCGAATTGCCACCGAATAGCTGGACGTGCCGCCCCTCTCCGGAGTGGCCGCCCCAAGCACCTGCTTGCCAGGCTGGTGCCTGGAGCTGGCCCTGCATGTGTTATTCTTAGGATGCATTAAAGACCATATATGCTATCCTCATACTGGTATGAAACTCTACTTGAATTAAATGGGAATTGCATGCAAGTACCTGAGGGCAGGATTTGGACCCAATGTCCTAGTGAAACACCAAAAATCCACAGTTCTGAAGCAGCCATCAGATCAATAATTCAAATGACCTGCACTGCTTCAATTCAGGGATGCAGTGACACTCAAAGCTCCATAAGTTCTAACATATTTTAAAAGAACTGCAAACTAAACTGGAATTAAGGTGCAAGGAAGCACCATTGCAGACAAGGCAAACTGGTGATTTTTTTTTTTTTTTTTAAGTACAAATGACATGGCAGGGACATCTTTAACATTCAGATTGAAGGTTGCTTACTTTCACATACTGAAACATTAAGACATGACAGAGAATTACTGGTGTGAACAAACAAGGCAGGTGAGGCAATATCTTTTATTGGACCAACTTCTGTTGGAGAGAGAGAGAGAAGCTTTGAGCCACACAGAGCTCAAATCAGCCCTTGGAACTTCCTTAATTTTATTCATTTGTCACAAACAGTGGCCTTTAAAAAAACAAGAGGACAACAGACATTGAATTAAGATGTACTATATAATTTTTTTAAAGGGGCCAAATTGTTTAGACTTTGCCTAAAGTTGGGCATCTAAAAGTGGTGTGATTTTCAGAGGTGCTGAGCTAGTAGCTTCCCACTGAAGTCAATGGGAGCTGCAGACACTCAGCACCTCATGCCATTTTTGTTTAGCTGCTTAAATGTGAATTTAGATGCCCAACTGTACACACTTGCACTTGTCAGCAGTTCATTTGAAAGTGTCAGCCTTAGTACTGTATGTAGATATAAGTGAACTCTCATGCTCATTTGATGGAAAAGCAGGGTCGTATATATCAGATTTAGTGAAGCAGTGTAGTTTCCTACACACCCACTTATACCATATGGTAAACAGGTCTTTGTAAACTTAAAAAAAAAAAGCTGAAAATGTCAAATTACATCTTATTTTAAAACCCTGTTAAGCTGGCTACTCCACATATGCTACACGTGAAAGAATAAGTGAAATTCTTGTTAAGACAAGTA